CAATGTCGAAGGGTGAACTCATTTAAAATGCTAAACAAATGTTAAACAAACAAACAAACAAACAAACAAAAAACAACTTTCTCCTTTGTTTATTTTTAACCAATAGACTTTTGATTATTTATTTTATTAAAGAAGATTTTCACCGAATGATTGCCGCAAAATGTAAGAATGTAATAGCCTTTGAGCAGATCTAATAATATTAAGAAAAAAATTAATGTGTCGTGTCGTTATTTTCTTTTCTTTAAGTAGGTTAGGTGGGCATTAAATGATTTGCCAATCTTATTTGTCAGCATTAAAAAGTTAAATCTGTCATTTTTGCTTTTTGCAGCACAAATTTTGCTTGGAAGGATGAAAGTAACTACATTTTCATCAGTTATTTTATCAGTCATTAAGTCAGATAGGGTACAGATAGAAGCACAGCAAGATTACTAATAGTGAAGTTTTAATTAGTTAAAAATACATATTTTTTTTTCTACAACATTTATGTTTCTAAGCAAATGTATTGATAAATCACAGGACAGCGTTGATAATAAGTTTTTGTTTCTGTGTGATCTGTACGTTCTCCGATCTGTACGCTGCCCCTCTCCTCACTCTGCTCTCATTGCACTCCGATCTCATTACTCTGCTTTGGGGTGGCAAGGTGGCAAGCTCATTTTTAGGGTGGCAGTTATCACCCCGTGCCACCCTTGTGGACACACCCCTGCACGCTTGCAATGGATTTAACCCTCATAATGCTGTCAAAATCTGCATACAATGTTATGCTAATTACTGTTTTTGTTTAATCTGTATACTAAATCAGAAGATGCATGAGAAGCAAAAAAAAAAAAAAAAGATTCCAATTAAAATCTTTAAAGAACCCAGAAACCAAATCACTGATCTGAAGAACATTAAGAGCCATACAGCCACTAAATAAATAAATAAATGCATACATACATAAAAAGGTTTATTTGCAAATCCTCTGACTTTCCTCTCACTTCAGCTCCTCCAGGCTTTCTTAAGGATAGTGCTTATATTGATTCCCTTCCTAATCCATATCTCACAAGTAATGATTAACTCATGCTGCTTTGAAGAGAAAATAACTCATAAAGCCTCAGTCAGGGCAGTTTGCTTTTCAGTTCTACATGCAGATCTTGTCAGACAAACAAACACTTCAGGTCCATGATGTTAACTTTTTCTGAAATGCTTTGCTCTAGGGCACAGTGGTTTTGGCTTATTGCTCATTCCTTGTCCAAACTTGCACCCTTTCTTGATCTAACCTTTAAACACTAGACCACGCCACCCACAATTACCCATACTTATTGACTAGTAACATTTAAAACTTAAAACATGAACATTATAAAGTGCTACTCAACATGCCAACTTGACAAGTAAGAATCTCTGGTATACAACGTACTGTAAAATCAATTTTTGCCAAGTTCCTAATTGCAATTCTTGCTTAAGGTCATACTATGTCCCTGGACCAAATTTACCACAAAATTATTAAGTTATATTATTATTATTTTTATTGTGTTTTTGTATTGCATGGATCACACTGGCCCCGGGGTTAATAATTGCAATAAATTAATCCTCCTACCATTTGTCTATATATATATATATATATATATAAGAAAAAATCTGTGTTTCTTGTAATTTGCCCCAAAATTATTTTAATTAATTTTCACATGCTAGGATCATGCTAACTGCTACCACATGTCCATTAGAATTTGTTTTATTGTATTTTTAAAAATGTTTTTGCCTTAAATTGACCCCAAAATGCTAACATGCTATCCTTTTGGGTTTGGTTTATTGTATTTGTTCAAAAAGCTATTTCAAGTGACACAAAAATTAAACTGATTTAATTCGATTTTTATTTTTTATTTTTTTTTGGTGGCCTCAAAATTACACTTATTCGCTTATCCATTTGGATTAGTTTTATTGTATTTTTCAACATGTATTTTATCCCCACATTTTGTTATCATCCTAGATTTCAGGCAGCCTGAAAAAGAAACAAAATAATAATAATAATAAAAAGCAGATCTTTGAAGATTGATAAACATATCTTTTAAGTTTAGTAAGTAAAGCATTTGAAAATAATTTAAGAGGAATATAAGAAGGACATTTTAAAACTGCATAAAGGTCTCTGGGACCCCTACAAAGAGAATTTCCACAGAACATGAGCATGAACATGCAACCTAACGTGCCCCAAATATCCCAAATCTCACTTGTCATGTCATGAACAATAAACCCATAAAAACACATTGTCCTCGTCAAATCTGACCATTTTGGAAATCTGATGGTTAACATTCTGCAAAAATCCATAACACAGTTACCATCTCAGCTCACCTGTACTGTGGAAAGCACCTCTTCCTCCTGATGTCTTGGCTAATGTGAGAGTGTGTCTTTAGTCCAGGTGTATTTCATCCCTCTTCCCCTCCCTGCCTCCCAGAGCATTCGTAAATCTGACCGCCCCACCATTCTTTGAAACACATTTATTAGCCCATAAACACTGGCCTTCAAACAATGATAAAATACCACTGAGCCCAACCTTTGGAGTCATTGCCCCAGGGAAGTCCAATTACATCACAGTATAAAACGCTGGGAGTGATTGTGGCCATATTCTGTCTCGACTTTGAAGTATAAGCAACGGATATCAGAGAGCTTTCAGACATCGGTAATTGACTTAAGATCCTCTTTTTTAGCCGACAACAAGGTACAAGACGCTACAATGGTGTCAGATCGATCATTGTGATGGATAATCGAGCCCAAATGATCTTAAATAAATTTTTACCTGACATATTGAAGAGAGCTGTTTTTTTTTTTTTTTCTGGCAGGTTATGTATGACCTTTTTAAAAGAACCAGAAGAAGAGGAGAGATTGACTGATGCTTGGCATCTCTGTTCAGATGCCTAAAATAACAAAAAAACAAACGAATCCACACACCGATGCCCGTGTCAGACAAAGACTTTATTTATTTTGAAGCACAACGAGCGGCCATACACAGCAGCTGCACAAATATGAAACGAATATGTATTAAATTCCTCTCTAATAGCGAAGCATCTGTAGCGTTAGACTGTGTTCTTAAATACATGTGATTAATATCCAGTGAAATACTTCTCTCTTTATAAACTGACCAACATTTCTATAACTCTCATAGGTTTATCACAGCAAGTGATGTGTGGAACAACACACACACACTCACATAAGTACGCAGACACACACAAATGCAAAGCTTGGTCTCTTTAGAGGCCGACATGTTGGTCCCATTGAACCGTTTATAAATATGAGTCATATTAAAAGGGTAGTTCACCCATATACTTTAATGTCATTGTTTACTCAACTTAATTTGATTTGAAAGTCATAAAATCTTACGTTCACCATAGCTCTGGAGTGTCAGATCGAAATTTAAGTAATTTGCAGAAAACGTTCCCATCCATCTCATTCACGCTGGCTTACAATAAAATATGGCGCAATGTTGATCGTATAAAATGCACACACTAACATAGAAGAGAGCTGAATGAGATTTGAGAGCTACATTGGAGATTTTCAGCAAATAATGATTTAAATTTCAGATTGTTCCTTACTTATATCATCATATGGAATGTCAACAACAACAAAACATTTCTCTTTATTTATTCCTTCCCTTTCTAGCTTGTACTTATTTGAACAATGCCTAAAACTTGGTTTTACAAGCACTTCCTGTGTCTGTTTGCCTCTTTAAGAAGAATCGCTTTATTTATTCCCCAATTGTAAGTCGCTTTGGATAAAAGCGTCTGCAAAATGACTAAATGTAAATGTAAAAAGTCATATGAAATACTTTAATGATAGTTTTATGGTGCTTTTTGTGTGCACCAAAGTCCCAGTTCCTAAGCAGGCCAAAGAAAACTTTGTTTTTACATGTTTTTCTAGCTGCATATTTTGCACTATTTAGTTTGTCCACAAGGTGGCACCACTGCCCTTGCCCGTTGTTTCACAGTCAACAACAACAAACAAACTACTTTCAAAGACAACAACTGACATTTTTGTTGTTCATAACTTCTAGATAGAAATAGCACAGACACTGGAAAAGGATGAAACTTCCTTTTGCGCATATGTTGAGGGCCTGTGTGACACACTAGCAAACGGAGTTCGGCTGCACATGTGCTAGCATACTTTATGCTTTACCTTACTATATGGAAAACAGCTGCTTGGACATTCAGCAAAATACTTCCTTTTGTGCTCCACATAACAACGACGACCATCTTGTTTGTTTAGTTTTAACGACATGAGGGTGAGTAGACGATGAAAAAATATTTACATTTCTGGGTGAACTATTAATTTAAGAAAGTGAATACATAGGCTACAGAAGACATGTGATAGTAAAGGTAAAGGACACAGGTTTGCGGCACTATGGTGAAGTGAACTGCTCCTGAGGTCTCGTTCTCAGGCCGCAGACGTTTAGACTGTGGGTCCGAATGGGGGCTTTGAGCCCGGCCGTGTTGCAGCTGATCAGAGGACAGTGGTATAGCGCCCCCTCTGGTACAGTGGTGGTACTGTGTTGTTTTTGTGCTTGGTCTGGGTACAATGATCGAAAGATTGTCGGGAGGAGGTGCCCTGAATGTAGGCATACATGCACACACACATTCGTACGAGCTCTACATGATCTATCCATACGCGCATGCACATGCGTAAATTGTATATTCAAATATTCTTCATCACATATGAATCAATACTTATATTAAATACTTTAAATATGTGTGCATATAATCTATACAATCTACAAGAGAAAAAAACAACAGGTGCGACACAAATGACAGTAACAAGTGGTTCCACCAACAATAACAGCAACAGTTATTCACTGTTGAACGTTAAAACAACATTTGTAATTAAAGGGACAGTTCATCCAAAAATTTAAAATATGGTGTTTTTTTTTTTTGTCCTTTCTTTTAGGTTTTGTCATTATATGATAAGGGCTACATAAATAATATTTAATATTGTCTGTTTTTGTTTTCAACATAAAAAAAAAATAAAAAAACTGCATACAGATTTGGAACGAAATGAGAATATTCCTTTTTGGGTGAACTGTTCCTTTTAACCACACACACAAGTTCAGTTGGGGAGGAGCCAGAAAGATGATCTGCAGAAAGTGGCTAGTTTTGCTAAAACAACTCACTCAAGACTATTGCAAAAGGGTACAGACGGAAAGACGGATACGGTTACGGTTCACGTAACAGGACTAGAGGTCTACATACAAGACACTGGCCCATCGCCTCCCCACACAAATCTCTGTCTCCTCTCTTTCCTCTCATAGCCATGGTCTGGAATCAGCTTCATCATCATCAGCATCCGCAGCATCAGTGAAGTCGTTCAGCCATGGCTATGCGTTTAACAAAACTGAGAAGAAATAAAGACGATTTTACATAGTAACAGCAAACTTTCTGCACTTTGGACATGTCTGATGCTACAATCACACTTTCATAAGGAAAGTCGCTGTACCTGGACTGCTTCAGTTCTCTGCTTTAGGAGTCTCCTTGGCTTTATGAGGAAGAATACAAGAACAGTAGTTAAAAATTGTCTTAAAGATGGCCAGTGTGTATTACAAGAGACAGTACTGAATCTCACCCTTGGAGACCATGAGGTTCTCTGCTTGAGCTTCTTCACCTCCTGGAGCCCTGAGAAAATATAAAATATAAAGAAAATTATAACCGATGGTTATAAACCCATGCCACACATGACAGAGAATCAGAGAGACTGTATAGGACTAACCTGGGCTTCTGGTTGATACTGCAGTGGCATCTGCGGCCTGAAGGGTGCACACAAGCAAAACGATTTAGATCAAACGGATGAATGGCAAAACATACAAACGACCTGTCGGGTTTTATATTGTGATAATGACGGGGATAATAAGGGATAATAATCCCTTACATATGTTATACTTGAAAGTCTGACTATGTTTCTTACTGAGAATAAGGAGCACTCCCAGAGCAAACAGCACCACAGCAAACGCCAAACCTCCGATCCTCAAACTCTCATAGTCTGGTAAGAAATAAAGGATTTTAATTTTTGGAGTTTCTTTGAGAATGACTCAAGCTTAAATAAGTAAAAAAAAAAATAATCAGTTCGCAAACCAGTTTACTTGTATAATGCAAAATTATCAGATGAAACAGAATATTCAAAGAGAAAAAATAAATGTAGGATGGGATTTGAAATGGTATTTTATCAGGAAGTGACATCAGAAAAATAAATTTATTTACTACATTTTAATTAAAAGTTATGAAGACATTTATTTTCTTTGAAAAAAAAAAACATGTTTAAATTATTCAAAAATATAACCTGGAATATGCAGAATGCCATGTAGATAGAAATGGCAAGTAACACATTGAATTAAACATACAATTTTGAAGTAGGAAAGACTGAAATAATATTTTCTTATAAAAAGTATACTCCTTTAGTGTAATCTTTATTTTATTATTATTATTATTATTATTATTATTATTACCTCCGAGGCCAGTGTTAGTTAATAGTTATCTTCGGCAGATGTATTTATTTTATTTTATTTTTCCAAAGCATATCCAAAGTATTTTTCCAAGGAAAACCTCTGGAGCAATTTGGGTTAAGGTACCTTACTCAATTGTAAACTTAACCACCAAGTTCCCACCATTCATCCTGGATGTTACTGTAAGCTGAATTTAGTTTGTGTCAAACATAGCACCAGCCTGCAGACCAAAGATCTAAGCTTTGGACTCAAACTACAAAATAAACTGACCGCAGATTGCAGGTTCCTTTTCAGTCGGTCACGTTTGATGTTACGTCAGAACAGACTGACGAATGGGGTCTCTCCCGAGAGCCCAATCACCTTAGAGTGGTAACAGAACGAGCCAATGGTACGCTGAGTACCTTGGTCTGCGGAATTTGCATCGTGAGCTCCACCCCGCTGTGTGGGTATATAAGGAGCAGCACGAGCAACTCGCATTCAAGCTTTTGCTTCGGAGCTGAGCACATCTCTCTGCTGGTATCACCGGAGTGTTTTGCAACGAGCCTTCAGTGGTGTTGGTGTGACAGCGCGATTCAGCAGTTCGTTGAAGAGCTTCCTGCTTCTTCTTTCCAGCTCCTGCGTTCCCCTGAGCGTTTCAGCACCTCTGAAAGAGCTATTTCCTCTAAAAGAGTATATGGGTTGTGTTTGCGTCTTTTTAAAGATGTCATACCGCCTGTGCGTTTCTTGGTGCGGTCGATATTTAGCTCCTCGTGACGGCCACGATCACTGTGTCACGTGTCTGGGCTTTCAGCACACTGAGGCTGCGTTCATGGATGGTTCATGTTCTCATTGTGGGGACATGACCATCTCGGCGGTAAGATCGAGACTCGATTACCTTAAACGGTATAGAGTCCCCTCTGCCACACCCCAATCTAGTTCCTCTTCCCGTAAAAGGGCTACTTTGGCTGGTGGCATCCCAGCATCTCATCCGGGGCTCAGGAGGATGACCAAATGTCGATCGCCGCATCACAAGGCGGGCTTGAGTCCTCGGAAGATGAGGATTCGGCTGCGTTGCCTCCCTCTGGGACGCCAGCCTTGCCCGAGTCTGATCCCGAGCTGACGGCCATGCTTTCTTGGGCAGCTGAGAGCATGGGGCTCAAGTGGAATCCTCCATCCTGTCCCGAACGCTCGAGGCTGGATGATTGGTTCCTGGGGGCTTCACGCGCTGATCGCCAGCGCCCCCCTCCGGTTCCTTTCTTCCCGGAGGTGCATCAGGAAGTTACCAGTTCGTGGAAGGCACCTTTATCTGCCCGAAACCGTTCTGGTGCTACCTCTGCCTTCACTGCCCTCGATGGCGAGGCGACCAGAGGGTATGCGGGGATACCCCCAGTGGAGCGCTCGGTTGCGATGCAATTGTGTCCTCAGAGCACCTCCACCTGGTGGTCCCAAGCTCCCGTCCAAAGCCTGTAAGTTCTCATCCACGCTAGTGGCCAAGGCTTACAGAGCTGCGGGTCAGGCCGCTTCTGCCCTGCACGCCATGGCCATCCTCCAGGTCTACCAGGCCAAGGTGCTCAAAGAGATGGATGTCTTGCAGGAGGCGCGCACTGTTACCGACCTCGCCCTCCGGGTGACGAAGGTCACTGCACGCTCCTTGGGTCAGGTGATGTCCACTTTGGTGGTCCAGGAGCGCCACCTATAGCTGAACCAGGCAGACATGAGGGAGTCTGATCGGACTCAGCTCCTCAACTCCCCGGTCTCTCAGGCTGGCCTCTTCGGCAACGTGGTTGAGAGTTTTGCCCAGCAATTCTCTGCCGCCCAGTAGCAGTCGCAATTCTCTGTCGCCCAGTAGCAGTCTGAGGCCATAAAACATATTCTGCCCCGGCGGCCCACTGCTGCGTCCACACTGCCGCCGGCTCAGCAACCTCAGCCTGCTCATCACCGAGGGCGTCCCCCTGCGGTCTCCTCCACTCCCGCTCGGCCACAGCAGCAGCCTTCACCCCGGCCGCAGCGAGGAGATGGCCGCAGAAGGGTGGCGATTCAATTCGCCTGGCGTCCCCCTAGGTTTCGGGGTATTCACGCTATGATGGTGGGCAAGGATGCTCCTATCATGCGCTCGGAGGTCGTGACCCTGCTGGCAAAGGGTGCGATAGAGCCGGTCCCTCCAGCCGACATTAAGTTCGGCTTCTACAGCCCCTACTTCATAGTAACCAAGAAAACAGGTGGGTTACGGCCAATCCTAGACTTGCGTGCCTTGAACCGAGCTCTTCACAGACTTACGTTCCAGATGTTAATGCCCAAACGCATTTTCGAATGCATTCGTCTCATGGATTGGTATGCAGCGATTGACGTGAAGGATGCGTACTTTCAGGTCTCCATTCTTCCTCGACACAGACCGTTTCTTCGGTTTGCTTTCGAGGGGCAGGCATATCAGTACAAAGTTATCCCATTCAGGTTGGCCCTATCTCCCCGCGTCTTTACGAAGGTCGTGGAGGGAGCTCTTGCTCCTCTCAGGGAGCAAGGTGTCCGTATCCTCAACTACCTCGACGACTGGCTGATTCTAGCTCACTCTCGAGTACAGTTGTCCGAGTATAGGGATTTGGTGCTGAGACACCTCGCCCGTCTGGGTCTTCGGGTCAATTGGGAAAAGAGCAAACTCTCCCCTGTGCAGAGGATCTCTTTTCTCGGTATGGAAATAGGCTTGGTCGCCATGTTCGCGCAGCTTAGGAGCGAGCGCGCACAGTCACTACTGAATTGCAGCGAGTCAATTCAAAGGCAAGAGAGCGGTTCCACTGAAACTATTTCAGAGGCTCCTGGGGCATATGGCATCCGCAGCGGCGGTCATACCGCTCGGGTTGCTTTATATGAGACCGCTTCAGCACTGGCTTCATGGCCGAGTCCCAAGATGGGCATGGCAACAGGGCACACTCTGAGTGACCATCACTCCGGCCTGCCGCTGAACCTTCACCCCGTGGTTGGACCTCTCATTTCTACGGGCTGGTGTTCCCCTAGAACCAGTATCCAGGCATGTTGTTGTGTAAATAGATGCCTCTGCCACGGGCTGGGGTGCCATGTGCAACGGACATGCTGCGTCAGTCTCCTGGACGGGACCCCGACTTCAGTGGCATGTCAATTGCCTCAAGTTGTTAGCAGTACGGCTTGCTCTGCTCCGCTTCAAGGCCCTGCTGAAGGACAAGCACGTTCTGGTCCGTACGGACAACACTGCGACCGTAGCGTACATCAACCGCCAGGGCGGTCTACACTCCCGTCGCATGTCGCAACTCACTCGCCATCTCCTCTTGTGGATTCAGAAGCATCTGAGGTCGCTTTGTGCAGTTCACATCCCGGGCAGGCTCAATCGTGCAGCCGACGAGCTCTCACGACAGCAGTCTTGCCCCGGGGAATGGAGAATCCATCCCCAGTCGGTTCAGCTGATTTGGGAACACTTTGGAGATGCTCAGGTAGACCTGTTTGCCTCTTCAGACAATTCCCACTGCCAGTTGTTTTACTCCCTGACCGAGGGCACCCTTGGCACGGACGCTCTGGCACACAGCTGGCTGCAGGGCCTGCGCAAGTATGCGTTTCCCCCAGTGAGCCTTCTTGCACAGACGTTGTGCAAGATCAGGGAGTACGAGGAGCAGGTCCTCATGGTTGCACCTTATTGGCCCGGCCGGACCTGGTTCTCCGAACTTGTACTCCTCGCGAAAGCCCCTCCCTGGCCAATCCCTCTGAGGAAGGACCTTCTTTCTCAGAGACAGGGCACCCTCTGGCACCCACGTCCCGATCTTTGGAACATACATGTGTGGGTTCTGGATGGGTCACGGAAGGTTTTGGTACCTTGCCACCTCAGGTGGTAGCTACCATCACTTCGGCTAGGGCCTCATCTACCAGACACGCCTATGCTCTGAAGTGGAACCTCTTCGTCACTTGTGTTCTTCACGTCGAGAAGACCCCTGGAAATGCCCGATCAGGTCAGTGCTTTCCTTTCTTCAAGAAGGGTTGGAACGAAGGCGGTCTCCTTCCACCCTGAAGGTCTATGTGGATGCCATTGCGGCTCACCATGATCCTGTTGATGGTAAGTCTCTTGGGAAACATGACCTGATCACCAGGTTCCTGAGGGGGGCCATGAGGCTCAATCCGCCTCACCCTCAACAAGTTCCCTCTTGGGACCTCGCAGTTGTTTTATCCGCACTGCAGAGAGCTCCTTTTGAACCCTTGCTTTCAGTGGAGCTAAAATTCGTATCATTAAAAACTGCGCTCCTGACGGCTTTGGCTTCGGTTAAGAGGGTCAGGGACTTGCAGGCATTTTCAGTTGACGAAGCGTGCCTGGAATTCGGGCCGTGTTGACGGTAAGTTGCTTGGGAAACATGACCTGATCATCAGGTTCCTGAGAGAGGCCATGAGGCTTAATCCGCCTCGCCCTCAACAAGTTCCCTCTTGGGATCTCACAGTTGTTTTATCCGCGCTGCAGCGAGCTCCTCTCGAACCCTTGCTTTCAGTGGAGCTAAAATTCTTATCATTGAAAACTGCGCTCCTGACGGCTTTGGCTTCGGTTAAGAGGGTCAGGGACTTGCAGGCATTTTCAGTTGACGAAGCGTGCCTGGAATTCGGGCTGGTCAACTCTCAGGTTATCTTGAGACCCCGGCCTGGATACGTGCCCAAAGTTCCCACCACTCCCTTTAGAGATCAGGTGGTGAACTTGCAAGCGCTGCCCCCGGAGAAGGCAGACCCAGCCCTGGCACTGCTCTGTCCAGTACGTGCTCTCCGCACTTACGTAGATAGAACTCAGTGCTTCAGGACCTCAGACCAGCTCTTTGTCTGTTACGGAGGCCAGCAGAAGGGAAAGGCTGTCTCCAAGCAGAGGCTATCCCACTGAATAGTGAATGCTATTGTCTTGGCTTATCAGGCTCAAGACCTGCCATGCCCCCTAGGGGTGAGAGCTCGCTCAACTAGGAGTGTGGCTTCCTCCTGGGCGCTGGCGCATGGCGCCTCGCTAACAGACATCTGTAGAGCTGCAGGCTGTATGGCTAAGTGCCTTCATATGTTGTGATTCCCCTCTTGGGCAATCCCACGTGTGTATTTCCACAGTAAGTCTTTCTCGGCAGCATGTGTCTCACCCAACATCTCTGATGTTGAACCATATCCACCCTGCGGGCTGGGTACCTCAGAGATTCATATGTATCACCACTATGATGGTTGATATGTGCTTTGTAAGACCTCTTACGAGCAGACAGTCTGTTAGCATACTTCCAGCTGGAATATGCTACCCAGTGTATTCTGTGTTAGGTATAGCCCTTCGCTCGTGCTGTCCTCACGACAGGGTGCTATCACTTACGCAGGTCACTGGAAGACAGCCATTGTGGCATTTTGGAAGGGACCCCATTCGTCAGTCTGATCTGACATAATGTCGAACGTGACCGACTGAAAGGGAACGTCTAGATTACGTATGTAACCCTCGTTCCCTGAAGGAGGGAACGGAGACGTTACGTCCCTCTGCCACAATTGCTGTTCCGCTGAACGGCTGGATCACATGGCTCGGCTCCTCAGCGAAGACTTGAATGCGAGTTGCTCGAGCTGCTCCTTATATACCCACACAGCGTACCATTGGCTCGTTCTGTTACCACTCGAAGGTGATTGGGCTCTCGGGTGAGACCCCATTCGTCAGTCTGTTCTGACGTAACATCTCCGTTCCCTCCTTCAGGGAACGAGGGTTACATACATAACTTAGATGTTTTTCCTTCTGGCAAACTCAAGGCATGATGTTTAAATTGTGGAGTCGCTCAGAAGTGGCTTGCCTCTAGCCACTCTCCAAAAGAGGCCAAACCTGTGAAGTCCTGAAGTGGTTGTTGATGTCTGGGCAGCCAAAGAGCTCTGAAGCGGTCAGTGAGAAATTGGCCTCTTAGTTTCTTCCCTGACAGCTGCTCTTCTTGTCTGGTTAAACAGCTTGATGTAGCTAGTATCTGCAATTGAAGTGGTTTTACAAAATGTATCTTTCTTTTCTAATCTTTCGTTTCTTTATAGTATCATCTTGAAGTTCCCAAGGAGTGTGATTGATGACCACATGTTTGATGTGATCTTTTTTTTTTTACTTGTGAGACTTCACTGAGGCCCTATTTACACCTGGTATTTTGATCCTTGTTTAACCACATAGTTGATTGACAGGTGAGTAGGCGGTCCTTCACAGTTGCCTAGGATGCATTGAGAATTATTAGTGTTTACACTACAAATGCGATGTGGTCGCATGCTGCAAATGTGGTTTGGGTGGATAGGTTTTGAAGCCCACTTTGACCTGTATTTTGCACCAACTACCTATTTGTAGACACAATATATTTAGTCAAGTCACTCAATTTCAAAGGACTATTTACAATTTTTCAGATACTAAATAGTTTTCTGGAGATTATCAAAATACTTTTATTTGTTACTGTAAATACTGTAAATAAATTGAAAAAATATATATATAATTTAGATCTCATTTAGATGCATCAGGGTGTAATTGCATTCTGAAGGCACAGATGAATATGACTGTATACAAAGTTTGACTATAAAGGTGATGGATGCCAAAATACCAATTTTATTCCACTGTCTTTGGGTACCTGCTGTTTGAGAAGCATGTTCCTTATGAAGTGACATAATCCTTGTTATGTAAGTAAATATTGACCTGTGTAAGCTTTTGTAAGTATTGATTCTTACCATATACAAATGGTTCCAATCCCTTCTCTTTTCCATCTGATGGAAAACAATCAGAAATTACACATGAAGCCATTGGCTTAATATAAGTACATATGGTCAAATAGAAAATGTAGTGGTGTGGTAAATTAAATAAAGCATAACTTGCCGTGGGCAGCAGAGTCAGACAAAGCTAAGACAGAAGATCAACACAGAGAGCAGAAACCATTATGAGAAAAGAGAAAAACAGAGTGGAATCGTTATATTAATAAAACATCCAATAACTGAAACAAGAGTGTTGCATTATGTTATTTGTTTGTGGTGGGTGTTTTTGCTTGTTGAGAAAGATCACAGAGCCTTAAGCTAGATGCAGTGTTGGCAGAAATATGACATTGCCTAATGAATGTGCAATCTGATTCAGGCATAATAACAAGGGGTTTTTGGCAGGGTCAATACGATTTGCTGTATATCAAACTCTAAGAATACATAAGACTAAATCGATGCATGTGAGACAGGAGGGTAAACTTATAAAGATTAACATCTTACTGATTTGTCTTCACTGTAGTACTAAAAAAAATAGTTCAAAAATGATTTTCCAAGCAATCTAGTATGGGCTTTGTGCTTTTAAAGTTGTCTTAACTTATGCTGTATGTTACAATAGAGTTGATCATATACTAGACTAGAATCACCATCAAACTGGAATGAGCATTTAAGGGGTTAACAGTCTTAAATACAAGCCAGTTTATTAAATTAAATCATCTATTAACAAGTCTCTTAATATGACATTTGATAGGTGGCAGAGGATAATTTGACAGGTGAAGGTATTTATATGATGTATATTACCCCCTCCCCCGGCCTTCATAAAAGCTCTATTGATTATTTAATTGGACTTTAACAAATGCAATTACATATTTCCTTCTTTTACACACCCTCAAATATGAGTTGAGAGGGCCTAAGGGAGAGAGCAAGGTCAGGGGAACCTCATGGAGAAAAAAATAATAAAACAGGTAATGAAAAAAGACAGGAAGTGGACACAGAAAGACTGAATGTACAGTATAATACACAAACCATGAGAGAACACCTGAAGGTAGAGTGGAAAGGAACATGACAAAAAAAGGTTCATGGAAAATAACATACATATGAAGGAAGGAAGGGAAAAACATCAACGAATGGAGAAAAGGGACAGTGAAGGAAAAAAAAAAGAAAGTTTGTGGTGGGTGTTTTTGCTTGTTGAGAAAGATCACAGAGCCTTAAGCTAGATGCAGTGTTGGCAGAAATATGACATTGCCTAATGAATGTGCAATCTGATTCAGGCATAATAACAAGGGGTTTTTGGCAGGGTCAATACGATTTGCTGTATATCAAACTCTAAGAATACATAAGACTAAATCGATGCATGTGAGACAGGAGGGTAAACTTATAAAGATTAACATCTTACTGATTTGTCTTCACTGTAGTACTAAAAAAAATAGTTCAAAAATGATTTTCCAAGCAATCTAGTATGGGCTTTGTGCTTTTAAAGTTGTCTTAACTTATGCTGTATGTTACAATAGAGTTGATCATATACTAGACTAGAATCACCATCAAACTGGAATGAGCATTTAAGGGGTTAACAGTCTTAAATACAAGCCAGTTTATTAAATTAAATCATCTATTAACAAGTCTCTTAATATGACATTTGATAGGTGGCAGAGGATAATTTGACAGGTGAAGGTATTTATATGATGTATATTACCCCCTCCCCCGGCCTTCATAAAAGCTCTATTGATTATTTAATTGGACTTTAACAAATGCAATTACATATTTCCTTCTTTTACACACCCTCAAATATGAGTTGAGAGGGCCTAAGGGAGAGAGCAAGGTCAGGGGAACCTCATGGAGAAAAAAATAATAAAACAGGTAATGAAAAAAGACAGGAAGTGGACACAGAAAGACTGAATGTACAGTATAATACACAAACCATGAGAGAACACCTGAAGGTAGAGTGGAAAGGAACATGACAAAAAAAGGTTCATGGAAAATAACATACATATGAAGGAAGGAAGGGAAAAACATCAACGAATGGAGAAAAGGGACAGTGAAGGAAAAAAAAAAGAAAGAATGGATGGATAGAAGGAAGAAGCAATGCAAGAAGAAAGAAGGCAGGAAGGATGGAAGGAAGGAAAAAAGAAGGAAGAATGGAATAAAAGAATAAAGTGAAAGGGACAGTGAAGGAAAAAAAAGCAGAGAGGAGCATAAGAAAGAGAAGAGGAAAAAAAAGAGAGGAGGAAAAAGAATGAAGGTAAGGGGGAGACCATGAGGGGCTTTCACACGTACAACCTTTGACGGAAAATAGCTGGTAAATTACCATTTTAAGATCATGTGTGAACAAGATCTTTAATTTCTGGCAATTTTCTAAGATGATAAATTGTAAAATTACTAGTAAAATGCCATTTTTGAAGCCATGTGTGAACAAAGCATTAGATTCCAGATGAGCATGAACAAAGTTAGGACGCACTGATATCTGCTTTGGATCAATTCTAGCATTGTGACAGAGATGACACGATTACTCCACACTGTTTACAGAACTATCACTTGGAGCTAATGCTGAAGATTTTGACAAATTGGACAAAACTGAAACTAAAGCACTAAAGCAACTAACATCACAGAGTTTACTGGTATGTTGGCACTGATGTTTACATACTGTCTTAAAGGTACAGCCACATTAGCAAAATTGTGTGGACAAGAAAGATCCATTGTTCATTGTCAATATTATAGCCTACCGATTTATGAAGCACATCTCACACAGGAGTCACATTCAAACCAAGCTGCTTTCTGTTGGTCAACGGAGTGAATCTTGCAGCATCTTTGAGGAAATCCTTACTTTTGAAAGCCTGCTATTGAAATTACTCAATTTTGACCTCAAAGATTTGCTGAACAATAGAAAATGGGACTGCAGAATGACAGAATCTGCTGTGCGTGTTAACAGTTGATACGCTCTTAAAAATAAAGGTTAATTTTTGGCATCTATGATTCCATGAAGAACCTTTAACATCCATGGAAACTTTCCATTGCACAAAATGTTCTTTATAGCAGAAAAATATTATTTAGATTAGGGCTGCACGATATCAAAATTATTGAAATATCGCAAATGTACATATCGCGATATGCATATCGCAATGGCATGCGATATCTGAATTATTATTTTAATAATGGACTACTTCTAAACGTTGCGAAAAGTTCCTTGCGTGACTTGCTTGACGTTAAAATGATGGCGTTATTTTACTGTCAAATGTCGAGAGCGCACTGTTGTAGTGCGAAAGTACATTGCTATGATGCGCAAGCGCGAATCTCTCCGCTCGCAGGCAGATTTCCTTTGCTCTCGCACTAAACCGGACGCGCGCTCTCAGATATGCGCTGCTCTCTCCCAGAGAGTGTGCGCGCACTTAAAACGTGTCCATTGCAATCGCGAATCTCTCCTCGTGCTCAAAGTGTGCGTGCTCAAGCGGTGTCCTTTGCACTCGCAAATCTCTCCGTGCTCTTGCGCTAGAAATGAATTACTTTCGCACCTGGATTAAACGTTGTCAAAAGTTATCTACAAATCAGACTTCCATGACTGACCAATTAAAATGCTACGTGAAATCTAATTAGCTGGAATTCTTTTGACAATCAAATATGGATCTTTAATTTCGTTACAATTTAATATTTAGTCATATTAATCAAAAGTATATTAGAAATGGCTGGGATTGGGGTGCTTGGGTGATTTGTGCAAATAAATAACCTAGTAATCTGTCTGTCTAACTGCTGCACCTGTTCCTTTGACAATCAAAGATGTATCTGCAATTTCTTTACAATTTAATTATATTTAGTCATATTAATCAAATGTATATTAGAAATGGCTAGGAATGGGGTGCTTGGATGATTTGTACAAATAAATAACCTAGTCTGTCTAACTGGTTGGTCAAACCTCTCTGAGCGATCTATCTAAACAAACAAAAACAGTAGCCTATATGATTCGGTTCAAGTGGTCACACATGTCTTGTGTAATTGGGTTGAAATATATATACAACATCTTCTGATTTAAGACAGAACTATTTAGATCAAGGGTCAGATGCACTATTCCCTAAATAATTAAAATATGGAATATATAGGCCTACCACCATAACGAATTTCTCATATTTGTCATAACATTATATTCTATGGGTTTAATGAATTTGCAGACAATGTAGTTATCTGTAACTGTCATATAACTGTAAATTCAGTCTTAGAGAAGAATGCCATTGAATGTGTAGCTAATATGAAGTGTGTTTTCATGAAAAAAAAAAATCTAACTAAGAAGGGAGGACGAGTGAGGTCCGGTGTTGGGCCGTCCGCGACTCTCCGTGCCCTCCTGGGACCCAGAGATAGAGAAAACCGCTCTCTCGTCGGGATTTTCCAGATTCTCCACCCGGCCCTCCTCCGGGGGAGAGAGGTGCCTTCACCAACCCCCAAAGAGCAGCTTCCTCCCTCTCTGGGTCACCCGTCCTGGGGCCTCTTGCTCTTTCGCTCACCGCTAGGTTTGAAGGGGGCCTGGACGGGTGGGGCCCAGCTCCACGGCGCCGCTTGCTGGAGGCTGCTGCGGATGCGGCGCAGGAGCAGGGGGCCGCCCTCGGCGATGAGCAGGCTGGGGCCCTGTGGCCGGAGGACGGGTGGAGGCAGCAGCTGCCCGCCGGGGCAGGGTGTGACGACTCGCCTCAGTCTGCTTCTGTGCAGCCGAGAGCTGCTGGACCAAGCTCTCGACCGCATCACCGAAGAGGCCGGTCTGGGACACAGGGGCATTAAGGAACCGAACTTTGTCGGCGTCCCTCATATCAGCCAGACACAGCCTGAGATGGCGCTCCTGGTCCACAAGTGTGGACATCGCACGACCCAGAGAACTCGCGGTGACCTTCGTCGCTCAGAGCGCGAGGTCAGTAGCGGTTCGGAGCTCTTTCAGAACTTCCGGATCATTACCACCCTCGTGCAGGTCCCTCAGTGCCTTGGCCTGATGAACCTGCAGTAACGCCGTAGCGTGTAAGGCGGAGGCAGCTTCTCCACAGGCCGTATAAGCATCACCGGACAGGCCAGACGAGTACCTACAGACCCGGGAGGGACCCTGAAACTGCGTTCCACCTCGCCTTCGATGCTTTCTTTTCCAAGAAAGAATGTGAAACATATACATTGGTTATATAATTTGTAGTATTTTAATATTTTTTTATATTATTCAAATTAATTTCACTTAAAGCAATATCGTATTGCATATCGAATATCACATTATTTAACATATTGCATATCGCATTTTTCTTCAATAGGTTATTGCACAGCCCTACTTTAGATTGTTAAAATATTCTTAACACTAATAAATAAATGTTTCTTTTCAGAACTGTTCACTGAACGGTTCTTCGGGGACCCAAAATTGTACTTCTATGGCATCACGACTGATTTAATAGAGAACTGGATTGCTCATGACATCATAAAAGTGAAGCCACCATGCCGCCATATTGGTCTTCCCTAGTATTCCCATACATTATATTGAATTAATATACCTTAAGTATCCCTGTACATTCTTACAATGCAAACGTCCAATGCATGTAAATTATTTTTTGCTTAATGTCAGGAATTTCCCCTGCATACAAAGTTGTTCATATACATGATAAATATCGGACGGATGAGGTCCTCAACATGTGTATTACAAATGACAAAGTGTTCATTCTGAAATCTGAATAAAGATTTATGCTTTGTATGCAAGAGTGTATTGTTTATTTATCATAAAAGTTGATCTGTCCATTTTATGGTAATTTACCAAGTTTAATGTAAGAAAGCGACTATTAATAGGAAACAGTGAAGGAAAGAAGGAAGGAAAGAAGGAAGAAACAAACAATGAAAGGAAGGAATGGAAAATGGAGTGAGGAAAGAATAGAAGGAAGGAACCTTGTGGTTGCAGTGTGAAAGAAAACCAGATGAAAACTAGTCTGACAGTCAGCAGTGCTTTGAGCAGTGGGCGACAGGTTTGTTGACAAAGTTGAAGAATACATTTTTTAACAGTGTAGAGAGCTCTGTGTGTGAATATGAATCTAGTACACATGTGCTGGCGAATTCACGTGGCCTAATTGTGGGTAGGGTGGAGTCTCTCAGAGGACGGAGATGGATGAGAGTGTTATTTAAATGGATGCTCTCATTTCACAAATGAAGTTTGTTTGGCAAAAGCAGGACAGCAATTCACAGACATGTAGAAGCACAATTACAACACTCAGAGCTTTAGATGAGTCTTTTGAAGAACTGTAGAGAGTGCAAACACATACACTGACACACACATATACATGTCATCCCAGATTAGGAGAGGTCACTTGTCAAATTCTCAGTTAAGAACTCTAGGATAGCGCTAATGTGTCATGTCATGGCTTTCTCCCCATCCTTTTCCAGTTCTTTCCAATCCCAGCGGACACAAGGTGCCTGGAGTGAAATGGAGGGGGGCACTTACCCACCACATAGACTAGGAGGGAAAAAAGGAAGACCAGAACAGTTTCCATGGCAACTGCAATGGGGAGAGAGAGAGAGAGAGAAAGAGAGAAATAAATTGTAAATAGAGTGAAAATCGGTGTTAGTGGGTTACATGCTTACCACATTCAGAAAGACTAGAGAGTTCTCACAAGCTCACAGTATATATAATCACAATTATGCTCTTTCCTTGACTGGCATATTGTCATTGTACCTATGCAATAGCGCAATAGTCATCCTGACAGCATCAGGATGAATTTAAACTCACTGTAGACTCATACATCACAGAAAAACATCTTGTGGTTTTTGAAATCTGTTCCTTGCATAAACATTTTTTGCCATTCTATGATACAATATTGTAATGGTAAAGCTGTCATGCAACAGACAGGATTTGGGTGCTATGCCCAAAATTTTTTATCACATTTTGAGTAATTCGGTATATATTTTGCAATATAAAAACAGACACTATATTTCAAAAGTTTGGGATCGGTACGATTATTAAATGTTTTTTTTTTTTTGTTTTTTTAGTCTCTTATGCTCACCAAGTTTGCGTTTATCAAAAATACAATAAAACAATAATATTGTGTACTATTACAATTTAAAATAACTGTTTTTTGGTTTAGTATATTTTAATTTATTATTTATTTTATAATTTATTATTTAATATATTTTAACTTGTAATTTATTTATGTCATGCAATGCTGAATTTTCATTGTGCAGCTTTATTTTTATTTTTTCAGGATTATTTAACAATAACAATAATGATTATTTTATTTTTTTTATTTTTTTTTTGCGCAAACCTTGTAGTTATGGTTGGTTGAGTAAGCTGGTTCAACCAACTCTCAAAGTTTGCCGAGAGTTACCGAGGACTCAACAAGAACCGAATGAGCCGTGGCGAAGTTTGCCGAGGATTCTGATGAGTGAGTTGACGATACTGTGCAAGCCTGAGAAGGAACATACTGGAAATATGCTTATGACGTTATTAATTTAAAACTTTTCTGTCGAGTGATGTAAATACATTTTACTATAGTTTATTGTGCATGCATATTATATTTAAAGTTGCTTAAGCGAAATCAAGGCGTTTATAAGACTAGTTTATTCTTTCTTTATACTTTAGACATGTAGAACATATACGCGTTTGTGCATCAATGTCCGTAATGTGTGCTGTAGGTGTGAAACGTTTAGGAATCTTATCCAAGTTGTAGGCTAGTCAATATGGGTCAGTCAGTCGTATATGACATATAGCAGGGATCCTCAAATCTGGCCCACGAGATCCACTTTCCTGCAGAGTTTAGCTCTAACCCTAATCAAACACACTTGAGCATGCTAATCAATGTCTTCAGGATCATTAGAAAATCACAGGTAAGTAAGTTTGATCAGGGTTGGAGCTAAACTCTGCAGCGCATTG